TTCCTTTTCGAAAATTTTGAAGATGTATAGAATTATTTATTCTTTCCCAGCATTTCTTCCTCGAACTTCGAAAATAATTTATTATTTTTTCCGAATTTCTGTAATTCGAAAATATTTTAGAATTTACTAGGCTACCAGAGTGGCCCGGGGTCACTTGCCCGGCCGGGCCAAAATAATTAAAATCAGTAAAAATAAATAAAATAGTTTTGAATTTTATTTTTTATTTTAAATTTGGTGAAGAATTTCGATGTGACCTTGAGGCAAAAGTTGTTCAGTTTATTTTTCTGCATAACATAGTTGTTTTTCAGAATTTTTTTTTTTTTTTTTTTTTTAGCTGGGACCTTACCTGATCCTTGCACGGGCTGGCCACCCGGGACCCGGGCGGCCGGCTGGTAGCCTAGAGAATTTAATTAAATTCTTTTCTTTTTTGTAATTCAAAAGTACGTTTGAGTTAATTCTCATTTCTCAACGTTGTTTTTTTTTAATTCGAAAACAATTTTAATTCATCCCTTTTCGCATACATTTTAATTCATAAAATTCCTTTGAAATTGGAAAATAGTAAAACACATCATAATCAATTAATTCTTTTTCGGAATTCTTTTTCAAAATTCTCTTTCGAAATTCTCTTTTTTAATTCGGAAGTACTTTTCTTTTTGAAAACGCCATTCTGAACACCTCAATCAATTTCGACAAAATTCTATTAATTCACGCTGAATTAATCTTTTACTCGGAATTAATCATCCCTTTTCAAATCTTCAATATTTTTTTTCATATTCTACCTCGAACGTAAATCCGAATAAATTTAGTCAAATTTTATTTTTCTTCTCGGAATTAATTATTTTTTTTCTTCATTTGGAAATTCCTGAAAAATCCGTTCTCTCTCAAAACCTCTTTTTGAATTTTCATGAAAAATACACTCTCGAACTAGGCTACCAGAGTGGCCCGAGGTCACTTTCCCGGCCGGGCCAAAAAAATAAAATTAAATAAAAATCAATGCTGTCAATCGGACGTCCGGATTGGGATCCTGATGGTCCGGTCTGGATGTCCGGATCCGGTGTCCGGTTTGAGGTGTCCGATTGGACCCCATTTTGAGAAAATTCGAAAAAAGAAAATGGGGTCCCCAGGCAATTTTCCATTGCCTGGTGGACCCCCGAAAATTGTTGGTGCAGTTTTTGGTGGACCGTTGGGCCAACCGGACCGGCCCTCCCTGAAGGGCCTGTACTTGCAATCTTGGGTGAGCTTCAGCGGGCCAAGCAGAACTGGTAGTGTGTGTGTGTGTGCGTGTGTGTGTGTGTGTGTGTGTGTGATTTCCCCCCCAACAGCCCCAATTCCACCCAGATGAATAGATTTAGAATCAAAGCAGTCTTTTCGTATTGCAGACAACGGGAGCATTTGAGATGAGACAGTCACAATCCAACATATTAAGGCAATTTTATAATTAGACAGCTCTCGATTGTCCTTGGGGTACCCCTTCCATTGTTCTTGCAACTATGTGTATGTGAGTGTGTTCAAGATAAGTCGGATAACACAAGCTACACAACTACAGTAGTGTTTTTTGTTTTGTTTTGTTTTGTTTGTGTTTTTTTTTTTTTTTTTTTTTTTTTTTTTTTTTTTTTTTTTTTAATCCGGACATCCGGACCTGTTCTTTCTTAACCGGACCGTCCGGGTCCGTATGTTCGGTTGTCCGGATCGATGTCCGGTTTACCGAACGTCCGGATTTATCCAGACACGGGTCCGGGTCTGGTGTCTGCTGTCTTGGATGTCCGGGTCCGGGGCAACCATGATCTAAATTGACTTTATGAGTTTCACCAAGAATCGGAATGGGAATAGTCAGATAACGGTCATTGTTGATTGATTCTCTAAGTATGCTATGTTTATTCCTTTACCAGCCGAAGCAAGAAGGAAACTCGTCATCCAGAAGTGCCAAATGCGATGGGTTTTGGACTATGGATTTCCAAAAATCATTGTCTCTGTTCAGGCTGTACGGTTCACTGGCCAGCAGTGGCAAAAGTTGAAGGAGGCTTACGGCACCCGATTGACCATGTTCTCAGTAAGGCACCCTGAAATGAATGGGCAAACTGAACAAATGAACCGTCTGTGCCAAAAACTTTTGAGAATGTATATACAGCCAGATCAAATTGATTTGGATGAGAACTTGCCAAAGATTGTCAGTGCGTATAATAACATTGTCCATACAGTCACAGGACGAACACCGAACGCATTTCACAAAGGTTGGAAGCCGCGACGTCCCATTGATGCGTTGACCCGAGACCAAGTCCAACGGCTATCCCCAGGAACAGGAGAATTTGCAATTTTGTACGAAGAAGACGTAAAGAAAGTGCAGGAAAATATTCACAAAGCCCAACTACAAATGATGGAACAAGCCAACAAACATTGTTGACCATTGCAGTTCCAAGGAGACCTTGTCTGGGTGGTCTAAAGAATTTTCATTAGAAGAGAACGTGTCACAAAAAAATTTGCATATCTACTATGAACCCTGGGAATTTCTCAAGGGGATTGGGGACACAGATGGACCTTCATACCGAATAGATGTACCCCCACACCTCAAGACATATCCCGTTTTCCACACCTCCAAGTTGCTGCCATATGTAGAAGGCCACGATTTTCGTAACCGGCCATCCATGTTTCCTCCGTCCATTAACGGAGGATATGAAGTTGAAAGGATATTAGAGCATGGATGTTTTTCTACATTTGGCAGAGGAAGGCCACAAAAGCAGTTCAAGGTAAAGCTCAAATCTCAACCTCTGACTGAAGCCTGATGGTTTAGTAAGAAAAAACTTCTACCTACTGCTCCCAATATTGTTTCCGCATATGAGCGAGGACTGAAAGAGAACCAAGCCTAAAGTTTAAGTTTCTGCGATGGAGCTCGAAAATTTGGTCGGATGGAATGTAATAACCCGCTCGAAATATGCCATTGTTAGGGGCCAATGACCACATCAGGCCACAAGGACGGCCTAAACCGAGGCCCGGTGTTGTATGCACCCAACCGAGGCCTAAAAAATGAGCTTTAAAGGCCCTGCACCGCACAGTTGACCAAAGAAAGTCAACAGCCAACTGTAGCGCTCACGAGTCAAAGTTTACATGGACCCAATCCAATCTATCGATCAGACACACATATTTGGCTGTTTGCAGGTATCTGTGCAGAATCTGGTCCAAGTAGAAGTCTGCAATTGTATGAAATCCAGACCATTAATTGCGGGTCAATCAATGCCCTCGTATCCGAGAGACCAGAGGCTGGTCAATCTGCATCAACACTACATTGCACCTGCTGCTCGACGCTGGCTGGACGCTGGTTTGACGTTGGTCATATGCTGGCATTGTGTGTGTGACCACGACGCGAGACTGCTGCATTGTGTTGCTGGCGCCTCACTGTTTTTGGTGCCAGCTGAGATCTTGGTTGGTTGCTGACGTGGCGCTAACCACATTGTCTTTGACACAGATTGGGGTATCGATGAGGAGGGAGATTGGTTGTGTGTGAGAGAGAGAGAAGCTAACCTGATTATTGTTGTCAACATTGCGCGCTGCTGTGACGTCTTCATGGGAGATCAACACCTACGTGGCACTATGTCGTGATTGGGATACTGTATGCTGACGTGGACAGAGTGGAGATGCCCGAAGGAGGAGTGGGACATGAGGGAGATCTATCTTCGATGACATTGATGGATACTTTCTTTTCCACCCTCTAAGTCTTATCTCCCTCCTATCAGATATGTCCATTGGTTACGAGATATTGTACTTCAGATCGCATTCATGATTATTGGAGACACTGACATGCGTTGAGACATCTTGTACTTCGACATTGACGAGTTTCTCTCCAACTAGGTTGATTGCAGAGCACAATATCCCTCTTTTGACTTTCTCTACTTTTGCTTTCTTTGGGGTATACCCCTCCTTTTTTTATTGGCAAAAAGGTGCAGTTTTTATTATATGTCCCAACAACGAGGCCGGGAAATCCTCAACATCTCAACCTGGAGCATTACCCTGGTGGGCCTGTACTGGGAACCGGGTCCAGCGTCCCATTAATTGCAACCAAACACCACAAACCAGACTAATAAAGCCAAAACAGAAATAAATGAAAGAAACTATACTACCTACAACAAAAAACACAAATTGGCGCCAATAAAGCAAAAACAGAAATAAACGGGACAAGCTATACTACTATCTGCCACCTTCTGTAACCTGCCTTATTTTCTATACTCTATAATAAAGGGAATAGCGGGTCTCGCGTGACACCGCAGCAAACCCGGGTTCCCTTCGTTGGGAAATCGGCGGTGGGCAAGGCGCGGGCCCGAGGGGAACTTGCACAAATAGCGTTTTTTTTTCTGTTCGCGCGAGTTCGAACGGCGGGCAGCTGTCGCAGGAGGAAGTACGTTACCTCAATAGATTTCACGGAAAACCAGCTATCTCCGAGTTTGATCAGCCTTTCCAATCTCTAGTTTTCACTAGAGGTTCACTATACCTTTATCTCACCTCGTAGGCCGAAGGCGGCGTCATACGTTTACGCTTTCCATCTTCATATGCTAGATCCAATGCGACTAGGAGTTAGTGTTCGTCCTACTTTCATTCCAAAAACATCGCATGCGCAAGGCGAAACCAAAAACAGTCCGGCACCGCCCCGAAACTTTTCCACCACGGCACGTCGTCGCTCGAACTCGCGTGACAGGAAGTGCTATTTGTGCTTGTGCGTCTGTACTATCGCAACGGCCAAGAGAGAGAGAGAGAGAGAGAGAGAGAGAGAGAGAGAGAGAGAGAGAGAGAGAGAGGAGAGAGAGAGAGAGAGAGAGATTTTAGACGTTG